GAAGAAATTGGCAGATATATATTTCACAAAGGTTACCGCTTCTGCAGAATCTGCTTATTCTTTAACTCCTCGACAATCAGCATTATGGAAATCACAGCAAGGTGATCACACCTCTGCTTGGCTTCGGGCGGTTCCTATTTCAGGGTTGGGTCAGACGATGAACGCCAAGACTTATCGCTGCGTGTTGTCCTATCGGTTGGGTGTACCATTGTTCTCTATCTCGACGTTGTGCTCTGCTTGTTCGAGGGTTTTTGCTGGAGATATTTTCGGTGATCACGCAGTGTCTTGTGCTGGTATTGTGGGTATTAAACATCGGCATAATGTTGTTCGGGATACCCTTGTTGATGTTTGCTTTCGTTCTGGGATTTCAGCGAGAAAAGAGGTTGACATTGGGCTGGCCGGAGGGAATGACGAGGCCCTCAGACCCGCGGATGTGTTACTTTATTCATGGGATTGTGGTCGCGATGTCTGTGATGATTTGACAGGGTCTTCTCCTTTGACACAATCAGGGCTATCTGACTTAATTCCTGGGCGGGTTGTGGCTGATGCAGCTCATCGGAAGCGGGTTAAGTATGAAGCTCGATGTCAGGCGATTGGATATGGTTTCATTCCCTTCTCCTTTTCTTCGCTTGGGGAATTAGAGAAAGAGGTTGTTGCGTTACTGAAGCGGATTCAAAGGTTCTCGACGACGCAAGACATTGGGGCTCGTGCTGCAGCTCATATCTTCACTAGGGTAGGATTTGCAATAGCTAGAGGAGTGGGGGTCCAGATTGTATCTCGGCTTTCCACTAATTTATTGTAGGTTGTATGACTTTTGTTTTTGAGATAATAATAATAATAATAATAATAATAATAATAATAATAATAATAATAATAATAATAATAATAATAATAATACAAGTAAATTTGATAGGCACTATTCTATTTATCTTATTTTCACTTATTTTAGGAATAATAGATTTAGATAGGTTCAAATTATGATTAATAAATTTAGAAACGAATAAGACATATTTTAAAAAAAAAATTATAAGTGCATATTGTTATGGATAAATTTCTGTAAGTTAAAAGTCAACGGCAGTCAGCCAATGTCAACGACAAGATCAAGCTCCGACGAAGACCAAAACTTGACGTGACAGATGAAAGAAGCACCAACTGCTCTCCTATTTTCTAGGGGAGGATAAGCATGAAAGACTAAGTCTTCACCCAGCTGTCGTACCCTGTCGTTAGTGGGCTAAACAGAAAAGAGATAATAAGGAGTCAGCTCCGATAATCAAGGAAGCAAGTCTATCACCTTGCAACGGTTAGGGATTAACCCTAGGCACCATCTATATAAAGGGGAGACACGTCATCAAACGTAGAGGACAATATAACCTAGCCACCGAACTACTTTAAGCATGCATTGTAATCCGATTTCTTTAATATTTTTCATAGTGAACAATAGATCCTCATTCTACCCGCGGTTTTTACCTTTATTGGGTTTTCCGTGTCATCAATGTCTTGTGTTATTTCTTTATTTTCGCATTAGTTTTATTCACGGTTTTATTTAGTTCTAGATTTTGATATTTAATCCCACCTAACGAAAATTAGCATAAACACATATCATAATTAAGGTAAGGGTTTGATCTATTTACCTTGTTTCTACTTATTTCACAAAAATTAAATTCAATTGTGCATTGAAGAATAAAAGCATCCAATATTCTAATGTATTATTCTAGTTTGTTAATCTTATTGAGATTATTTACTCAACTCGTTTCATGTGTTAATAAAGCTTGTAAACAAAGTTGGACAATGGAGCACTACAAATTAGATGTCATTTTACATTTTTACTTCCTAAATAAAGCACTCGATTCGGCTGAATTACTCGAACTGCGTATATTGCCCAAAGTCCCAAACCCTTCTTTCCAAAGGTGTAGACGTGGCCGGCTGGTTGTTTTTTACAATGATGCTACTCCAAAGTCTTTGTTACTCTTTTAGGGTATTTAATGAATTTCGCTTGCATTAGAAAAAGGGTAATGATATAAACCTAACTATTTGATACATTTCCTGGTTTGATATTGACATTAATATTTAGGACATATTCTCATACGTTTTATTTTCATTTCACTTTGACTCAGTTCCTAACTTTCTTCTCTTATAAAATATTTATTTCACTTCAGTTCAGTTCAGCTGAGTGCAGTAAATGAGAACAGACCCTTAGTACCGTTCTTTTCAGCTTAATTTTACTTCGGTTATGTTTAGTTCCTAATTTTCTTCTTTCATTAACAATTTAGTTAAGCCAAGTTCAATTCAGTTCAGTTCTGTAAATCAGAATAGGCCTTAGAGTGTTGGTATTCTTAGCAAAATTCATTTTAACCATAATTCGTGGTTACTCTATGTAAGGAAATACATATTTATGTAGTTTCTTTAGATCGACATGTCTCATTATCAATATGTATATTTTAAAGCATGATAAAATCAAGTGTGGTTTAATTTGATGTAATTAATGTATAGTTTAGCTTATTATTTCCATCTACAACACATTATATCAGCATGCCTATTTATGAATTTCTAGATATTGTATATTTGTATATACAGAGTACCATTCTCTGTGAATTGAATAACAAATTTGGCTGGAAAAACTTCAAAAAGCCGCTTTATATTGCATTTATTTTGGCTGGAAAAACGTAATCACTTAAAAACTGATTAATCAAAACATGTGTTGATGCTCTCAAATCGTTTCACCCTACACAAAAAAAATTCAAAGTACATGCTAATTTAAATGAAATACTCCTTCATTCCTAAATAAATTTCTTTTTCTCTAAAACACTCTGTACTTTTATTTTATTTTTTTTAAAAAAACTCCGTACTTATATTACATAAAATATAAAAGAAAACCAAAGTAAATAACTAAATACAATAAGTATTTTAAAATAATAAAATCACGGTATTGTTTATTAAATTAAATCGGCAAACAATCTCTATAATCTCAAATACACAAATTCACCACGTTCAATTAATTTTCCAAATAAGGTATAGTTTTATTAAATTGAATTTTCAAACAAGATCAATCTTTAAAATCTCAAATGTACAAAATCATCTGTTAAATTAATTTTCCTCTTCATATTATATTTAGTAAAAAAGTAGGTATAATTTATAAAAATAGATTCTCAAAAATAGCAAGGGACAATAAATATTATGGAGAAGGTTACAACTTAAAATATTGTAAGTGAAGCTAAGCTAGAAATCGAGAGTCGAGACGCATGCAAGAGACTCATCATTCTGTCCTCTGTCTCCCACGCAATCTCTCTCTTCTTTCTTCCCCCCATTTTCTCCTTTTTTGTTCTTTTTTTTTTTTTTTTTTTTTTTCAAATATCTTTTTTTCTGAACCATAACATCTTCTTCCATTTTTGTCCCTCCATTTTTATACTTATTTACCATATTTGCCATCAATATTAACTGTCTATTTTTAACCTAAGTTATAGCTATGATCATTATTAAAGTACCCTATGTTTTGTTAACTTTGGTAACTAAATTTGACATCAAAATTTGAGCGGGCCCACCTCTTTATATTTTGTTGTTAGAGACAGTAGATAAGCATTGGATGTGGATGTTGAGCAGTAAAAATTTCATAGTTACTACAGTAAATCTTAGTTTTTTACCGTGCATGTAAATGTAACCTAGCTTAGGTTGAACATGGGAACTTGAAGTATAAAGTGGAAGATTTTGTGCACCATGCATTTGTGGTTATGGAACTTTCATAGCTTTCCTTTATATGAGTATCATGCAAGTAAAGCTAGTAATCCAATAATCATCTTTGAGAATCGTTTATGCTTATCCAATTAATTTCATTGTTACATTATGTATCGAGGTATATTTTATTTGAGTGATTTAGATTGATTTAAATTTATTGGAACTTAATTATCTAATTATATGTATTTATTATTGAAACATGATGTAATTAAATTGATTATTACAATGTCTTTTCTCTCAATGATGTTGAATTATGTATGAGTAAAGAAAATTATAATTATAGAGGTTAAGATTTAAGAATATTGATTTTCTTATCACTTATCCAAAAGAGCTATATTTGGAAATTGTTCAAGCATTATGAAGTATATAACTAGCCTTTTAAAACTTATGTTATGTTATCGTTCTGACCATAAGAGTAATTAGTTTTTAGTAGACACAATATTTTATGCATGACAATATAACCCACATAAATTTTGACATGCAAAACTTCACATACACATTAAAAGTATCAGAATTGCACGCATAACAGCTAGATATTACAGTGTAAATAAGAATCAACTCGAAATGCTTTTGTTTTTTGTTACAGCCAGCTACATTACAGTTGGAAAAGAAAAAGAAAACTCTTTATTTGGCTAGACAATTCTAAAAAATAAGTCCATAGACAACAAAAAGAGGAAGAGATCTTGCAAATCACACTTACTAGCATGCATATATACACATTGCCAACTTAAGAGCATGCATGATAAACATGACCTTTTTCCCTAAAAAAACTTAAAGCATAGTGCCAAAGCAATCAATTGCCATGAAAAATCCATTCACCTTTTCAAACCCACTAATTTCCAATTTACACAATACTAGAAAAAAAGATAAATAGAAATTAGAAAAAAGAAAAAAAAACAACTTTGCACCAATCATCTCACAAAGCTTTGATCCTACAAACTCTTGTCTGTTGTTGTGGCCTTTCCTTTTGTCCCACCAAAAAAAACACTAAAAAGAGAAATAAATTAAATTAAATGAATTAAAACCAAATTAAAAATAATTTTAATTTTCTTTTTAGGCCAATCTTCACCCCACCCTTCACCTACAAGCCATTTTAGAAAAATCTCAAATTTTAAGGGTACATTGTAAAACCAACCCCTAACCAAAGGGTAGTTTTGTCATAATATTTTTTTTCCCAATTTCAAAAATTCCCACTTCTTTTTATTTTATGTTATTAAATCCATTAAAAAAATATTAATTTAAAAATATCCCCTCTTCCCTATACTAATAACTATACACCCTAAAACAGCTGATAAAGCAATACAAACACTCACCATTGAAGAGAGAGAAAATAAAAAGCTACACTCCTCTCTTTTCCCTGCTACAGAACAGCAACAATCAATCCAACAAAAAAAAAAAAAAATCCCCAATTTGTCAAAATTAGGGTTTTAATTCAAAGCTTTAAATACCCTTTTCAGCTCAAATTTAGTACTTTTTCTTCAAATTAATCAATGCAGAGTTTCTGGGTAATCTTTAGTTTGTTCTATCAAGTCAATCTGATTCTGGGTTACTAATAAAGATGCTGGCTAATCAGAAGAAGAAGAAGAAATTTCTGCTTTTAGTTATAAGTTCAGAGATCTTGATTAACCATCTTCAATTATTCGGTTATCGTTGAGTTATTTCAGATATTTCCCACTTTTTTTCTTTTCAATTTTATCGTATAACCTATGGTTTCTATATGAGTATTATTTTCGTCGCTTTTTGAAGAGAGTTAAGGAAGAAGAAAAATGGGTTTCATGGTTCTGGAGTTGCGGATTTTCGTCGCTTTTTAGATCGTTGTTTTTTTTTATTATTACAAAATTATAATTAGTAAGGTACTGTTTTTGGTTGCTTGGAGTATTATTAGGAAAATTTCAAGAGCTCTGATCTCGAAAATTTGGGAACAAAGAAAACATTCCTTGTGTTTTTCGCTGCTTCATCTTATGTTAGCAGATAATTTCTTACGTTGTTATTATCCCCATTAAAAAAAAAAAAATACAAAACCAAAAAAAAAAAAAAAAAAAAAAACCCAGTTCATCTACTAGTAGCAGTATTTATTTATCTATCTATCTATTCTTCTAGATTGCTATCCATTTAGACTGTATCGTTTCGTGTCGAAAACTCGAGTTTTTGTAAGAAAATGGCAATGTCCTGCAAGGATGGTAAGGGAGTGATGGATAATGGGAAGTATGTGAGGTATACACCTGAGCAGGTTGAAGCCCTTGAAAGGCTTTATCATGAATGTCCTAAACCCAGTTCTCTTCGCCGTCAACAGCTCATTCGTGAGTGCCCTATTCTCTCTAATATTGAGCCTAAACAGATCAAAGTCTGGTTTCAGAATAGAAGGTATATTGTTCATCTTCTCATTTGCCGGATTTTCATTTTATTTTTAACTTATTTAATGCTGTCATTTTAGATTGTGGCATGAATATAGTAATTCATACTAATTATATAATTATATTATTGCAAATTCTTGTATCAGACTGTGTGACACAGTTACATTCTTGTATGATCATGTTATGTTTTTATAGTGTTTGACAGTGTGAGTCAAAATTGTGATTATTTTTCTGTTTTTTACAAGATTTTGTTTTTGGGTTTTAATTATTGTGTGTTTTAAATGTGGAGCAGATGTAGGGAGAAACAGAGAAAAGAGGCATCACGGTTACAAGCTGTGAATAGGAAGTTGACTGCTATGAATAAGCTTCTAATGGAGGAAAATGATAGGTTGCAAAAACAAGTTTCACAGCTTGTGTATGAAAATGGCTATTTTCGCCAGCAAACTAATAAAGTAAGCTAAAAGTCTTTACCTTTTGATATACTTTGTTTACTAATCTTGTTCTTAAGAGCATAATCCAAAGCTACATTTAAGTGGGTATTAATATTTCCGGAAATTTCATTATTTAACGACAAAATCACGCGTCGATTGGTGTAATTAATGTTTCGGCATGTAGATTAATCCAATTAGCCCGCGTATGATTAATGCAATAGACTAACATGTTTTAATGAAATTCATTATTTCAGGACAAAATCACGTGTTGATTGGTGTAATTAATGTTTCGGCCTATAGCTTAATCCAATTAGCCCGCATATGATTAATGTAATATCTAACGTGTTTTAATTTTGTTGATAATGTTAATCAGTCTGGGATTGCTAGTAAAGACACAAGCTGTGAATCAGTGGTGACGAGTGGTCAACACCATTTGACGCCACAGAATCCTCCAAGAGATGCTAGTCCTGCAGGGTAAGTGGGGGAATAATTTGGTTGTTGTGTCATTTTCTGGTTAAACAAAAAAACATCGTTTACTGTGAAACTTTCTTTGTTGGGTGTGTGGTTAATGGAGTTTCTGCTTTTGTTTTTCAGACTTTTGTCCATTGCAGAAGAAACTTTAGCAGAGTTTCTTTCAAAGGCCACTGGAACTGCTGTAGAGTGGGTCCAAATGCCTGGAATGAAGGTACCTTTTTATTTTTAATTAATTTCTTAATTATAAATTAATTATCATTACTTGTTCATTAATCAATCTAGATAATAAGATTAGTAATGTAGTTAAAAGAACGTGTTTTTATTTAATTAAAAGCTGTTAGGGGTTATATTTAAGTATTGAAAATTGTTGTGGAAACTTGGGTTTTAAGCAGATTTTATTAATTTCATAGTGTAGAGTGTTTTGCTTGCTAATTTGTTGTTAATTATTGTAGCCTGGTCCGGATTCCATTGGAATCGTTGCTATTTCTCATGGTTGCACTGGTGTAGCTGCACGAGCCTGCGGCCTTGTGGGTCTTGAACCTACAAGAGTAAGTTCAATTTACTTTTTAAGAGTGAATTGATAGGTAATTTGTTTGATGTTCATTTGAAGTTGAATTGAGCATTTATGCTGCTGCACATCTTACAGGTTGCAGAAATCCTCAAGGATAGGCCTTCGTGGTTTCGCGATTGCCGAGCTGTGGATGTGCTTAACGTGCTGCCTACTGCCAATGGTGGAACCGTTGAGCTGCTATACATGCAGGTTAATGATCTCTTTTACTGTGTTTAAGTTTTTGTTTGTCTAATTTTGTCTACTTGTTTAGTTTGGTGTTCTCACGATATGTTGTGCTTTCAGCTCTATGCTCCGACAACTTTGGCACCTGCTCGAGATTTCTGGTTGCTTCGCTATACCTCTGTCATGGAGGATGGCAGCTTGGTGGTATGTTTGCCTATTATTATATTTGTTCTGTATGTAATTTATCTTGAGACTTGGAGTGCTCCATGATTTTTTTGCTTCACAGCTAAGCCCTGTACTTATTGCCGTAATGTTTTACTACATACAGGTCTGCGAAAGATCACTTAACAATACCCAGAATGGTCCGAGCATGCCAACTGTGCAGAACTTTGTTAGAGCAGAAATGCTCCCTAGTGGGTATCTTATAAGGCCTTGTGAAGGGGGTGGCTCCATAATACACATTGTTGACCATATGGATCTTGAGGTGATACATATTCTGTTGAATCTTAATTATGATTCAAATTGGCGAAGTTGGTAACTAATAGTTCTGAATTGTCTTACTGTGAAACAGCCGTGGAGTGTACCTGAAGTGTTGCGCCCCTTGTATGAGTCATCAACAGTTATAGCCCAGAAAACTACTATGGCGGTAAGAATTTTCTTTTAAGCCTCATATTATGGATCATGAATTACGTCCATTAGGAGTTATTAAGTGTTGTATGATTGAAACTAATCCTCAACATCTGGTGCATGTTTTTAATTCTCCTAATATTGTGCTGCTGGGATGCAGGCACTGCGTCAACTGAGGCAGATTGCTCAGGAAGTTTCCCAGCCTAATGTCTCTAATTGGGGCAGGCGACCTGCAGCTTTGCGAGCACTTAGCCAGAGGCTGAGCAGGTGGGTATAAACTTAAGATTCATCAAAGATGTTAATTCTCCTTTAATTCCTTTGCTATTGGAATATGATGGTTTCCAATGTATCAGGGGTTTTAATGAGGCATTGAATGGGTTTACTGATGAAGGATGGTCAATGATTGGAAATGACGGCATAGATGATGTCACTGTTCTTGTTAACTCATCACCTGATAAATTGATGGCGTTGAACCTTACATTCGCTAATGGATTTCCAGCCGTGAGCAATACGGTTTTATGTGCCAAAGCTTCAATGCTTCTACAGGTTTGCGTTAATTTTTTTGTCTAATAATAAGTTCTTCATCAATGGACTTTAAGATTTTGCATTCACTTAATACCTGTGCTTCGCTGTATAAGATGTCATCATGGTAGGAAATCATTTTGTCTAGTTATCCTTTCCTTTTGTTTTTATTTGAATTTCTAAACGCCTGTACAGTTCCAAAGCGTTTAGAGGCCCCCCTTTTTTTTAAAGGCTCTGTCTCCATCGTGGAATTATTATTCTGTCGGGATTGCTTTGTTGGTTTACCCTTGCCCCATTGAACTTCAAGTAGTGAAGGTTTACAGGATTGATCCTTAACGTTTGAATAAACTGACAAGTGATACATTGTGGCCAAGGCTCTTGAAATTCTTGGAGGGCCTGATTCTGTTATGTTTTTATTTTGTTTTTCTTATTTGAATCACTGTGGTAAAGAGCACAATAACATTATAATACCGGATAGCGAACTCATTGAGCTTGTGATAATCTTGTGATTACTGGGATGACAGTTGAATTTTGTATCTTTCTGGATATTTGGTTTCCTTGTGTATGTTAGTAAGCATTTATATTTGCTTTCTTGTTTAAAGTGGGGATGGGTCAATATGAAACCCACTGGCTATCAATCTGTCTAGGATACTTTGGCGTCATTATGCTTGGTAATATCATCATAGCACCAGGCTTTAATGGGTTTCTTCTACTATGATTACAATGTCACTTGAGTTGAAATCTAGTTGACTCTTTGGCGGATGGATGCACCCATTTCAATGGAAGGTTCTCCCTTTATGTTTGACCCAGTGTTGCTAGAACGTGGGTTGTTCCTGTGTATCTGTGTGTGGAGCCAGTACAGAAGCAGGGAATGCTTATCCTCATGAAGTGCAGAATACAGAACATTAAGTTTAAAAAGTTTTCAATAAGACAATAACCACTTTTGTATTTGAAGCCGTGGAGTATAAGCTACTGATACTTCCTTTCATTCTGCTCATACACATAAATAGTAAGACATGTTGGTATAAATTACAGAGAAAGTTTTGACTTAGTAGAGAAGTATCCTGTTCAAATCCTTGTCAAATTAGTATGTGATTTAACTTGTAACATTTGGCACTTTTTATTCACAATTAGTTCCATGTTGATCGACAATAGAAGTTAATGGATTCCGATTCCAGATTCACTCATTGATGAGTTTCACTGACTCTAATTAGCCTGATTGTAGAAGAAGTCGTGCTTAATATGATAAAGCTTGCAATTAAAGAATTGCTGTCTTCAAATTTACGTCGACTCCTTTGAGTTCGCTTGTGCTGCTTATGCATTATAGCCCTTTGTTGTATTGATTCTCGTGGTAGGTTTCGTAGAGCATCATTAACCAGGACTAATTATTTCTTCATTCCTTCTTCATGTGACCCAAGAACCATCTTTTTATAACCTAAATGTTGGTTCATGAGAAAAGGACAAGAGAAATAGAGACTGTGAAGGTTATGATTAGAGTGAGACAATTATTATCCCGTGAACCCATTTTTTTACTTTCTCTAGCCATCAAGTACATTTTGTTTGGGTCATAGGGAGTAGATTGATCAAGGACTTTATATCAGTATTTGATGGCCTTTGTTTTTGTGTACTTGTAAGGAAGATCAAAATATGATCATCTATTCTTTCTCGATTTGATATCTAATTCTGTGTGTAATTCTTATTTTTTTCAGAATGTTCCGCCAGCTGTACTTCTTAGGTTCCTTAGGGAGCATAGATCAGAATGGGCTGACAACAACATTGATGCTTACTTGGCAGCAGCTGCCAAAATTAGTCCCTGTAGCTTGCCTGGATCACGAATTGGGGGCTTTGGTAATCAAGTTATACTTCCATTGGCACACACCATTGAACATGAAGAGGTAAGCTTTTCATTGTATGTCAAAGATTGTATTAGCAAAGCACTTGATCGGTTGATCCTTGTCACTTGCTTTGTCTAACATGATAAAAAATAATTATGTCATTTCTCATGTGCTTAGTTATTGGAGGTCATTAAGCTTGAAGGTGTTGTCAGTTGTCCTGAAGATGCTATGATGCCAAGAGACATGTTCCTATTGCAAGTAAGTGCTGGGCTACTACTTCCTTTATTTCTTGTTAACCTCGAAACTTGTAAGAAGAAATATTTAAAGTTCAAATTGTTTATTTGGGTCCCATAAAACTGCAACCGAGAGTTGGGGTATACAGTATACATCGTTGAGACCTGCAAATTAATGTTCAAATTTACTATTTATGTCCATTTCTCTTTATAACATGTTTGATTCGATGTTTATTCGCCCGCATGTCTTATCTCTTTTCTGCTTACTGTTTGTCAAAATAAAGTTCAAGTTGTGCATGTGCATAAGATGATTAAGATCACCACGGCAAATTTTTGTTAGCGGACTGGTTAAGGTAAAACAAAAACAGATCAAATATCTTGATGTGATTTACTAGTTGGAACAACCATAAAATGATAGTTGTTGCAAGAAACAGGAGCAGTAAGATATTTGTTACCCTAAACTTGCAGTTGCAGTTGCACTTGGTGAAAATTAATTTCTGTCAAGACTTTGGTGTGGAACTTGAGCTAGTAAATTAAGATTTGATTATTAAGATTTTTCATACATGAATTGAGTCAATCCTTCTTTATTTAAACCCTATAATTAGCTAGCTTCTCAATGTCTGCTTCAATTGACATTAAGTTTGGTCAGAGGAAAGAACAGAGCACCAGTGTACTGCAAATTAAAGTTCTGAGCATCGTGTTGAAATTAAGTTATTTGGGGCATGTACAATGCTGTTTTATCTCACTCAAATCATCTAGATTTTCTAAATACATGCTACCTACCTCTATTTCAATGCTTAATTGCCAACAAGATCATGCTGTAATAATACGTAGCTGAATACTCCTTTCTTAAGATGTTACTTTTATAAGTCCAATACATCGTTTTTCAACTACTCTTAACATAGCTTGTCACCTTTTTTGCTGACGTGCTTTTATTCTTGGCAGCTATGTAGCGGAATGGATGAGAATGCCGTTGGCACATGTGCTGAACTCATATTTGCTCCTATTGACGCTTCTTTTGCTGATGATGCTCCTCTCCTGCCATCCGGTTTTCGCATCATTCCTCTTGATTCTGTGAAGGTTGTTGCACATTGGAAACTGTTATTTTTGTTCCTTGTAAAGTTCACTGCTTTCTTGGTGGTGGATAGCTCATATATTTGGAACTTTTTTTGCACTGTTAAATCAGGAAACCTCGAGTCCAAATCGTACTCTGGATCTTGCTTCTGCTCTGGAGGTTGGTTCATCCGCAAACAGATCTTCTGATCATTCTGCTTCTGGTAATAGCATGAGATCAGTGATGACTATTGCATTTCAATTCGCTTTTGAGAGCCATCTGCAAGACAATGTGGCATCTATGGCTCGACAGTATGTTCGCAGCATTATTTCATCAGTTCAGAGGGTGGCGTTGGCTCTATCTCCTCATTTGGGTTCTCAAGCTGGACTTCGATCACCACTCGGAAATCCTGAAGCTCACACTCTAGCTCGATGGATTTGCCAGAGTTATAGGTTTGTCCCCAGACTTTTGTTGTTATACTTAGAATCAAGTCTCTGCTCTTGCTGTTTGCCCATATATTCTTTTGTGTAGGTTAGAGTAACTTAAAAAAAAAAACTTGCTACTAAAATAACTTGTTGTATAAAGTATGCACTTCTTAGACCCATGACAAGAATGCCTGTCCCTTGCCTAATGTGTGAGGCCTTCAGAAACAACTGTTGTCTTATAATATCCAGGCAATTAATTTGTTCAGATTCCAGAATAGCTTCCCATCATTATAAAATTCTGTGATGTATCAGCAAAAGTGCTCGTTTTACATCACTTTAGGTTAAGTTTCCTATAGCTTCAATGATAAACCCCATCAGAACCTCTCCAACAAGCCTGAAAGATATCTGTTTAGAGCTTAAGGTGTCATTTTTGCAAAGTCCTTTATTTGCCAAAATGTTCTGATCACTCTGAATGTTTGATGTTTTTTGTTTCTAAGATATACTTGGTTTGACTTAACTTTTCATGTTCAAGGAAAAGTTCAGTAATAAAGTTAATTATTAGTTTGCTTTTTTATTTTTCAAAGACTCAAGGATTATGCAGGTTTGAAAACATTTATTGCTTGCTGTTATTTTTCCAATTGAATTGGGCAGGTAATGATTAATCTCATTTAAATCTAGGGAATGGGAAAAATGATGGTTGATAAAAATCATTTTAAGGAAGAATGGAAAATGATGTCGTTTTTGAAAATAAGGAGTAAAATGTATGCGGTGTCTTTATTATCTGGGAAAAGATGATTTCCCAAAAAAGTAATCGCGGATTATAGCAACTATCATGAGTAGTCATAAAAAAGTTTCAGAGATTTGAAAGGAAAAAAAAAAAAACCTTCCTATCCCAATTTGATGATTTTAGCACTATTTAGCAAGCAACTTCAATTAGCTAAGTAATACTTCGTAGTAAGTTATTTAGACTTTCAATCAGCCGACTATTTTAGATAAATGTTTGTTAAGGTGTTGAAAATTTAGTAAGCTACTTTATATTAACAGTGTTGAGCCATTTCCTCAGTATTTAGCTAGTTGAAATCTTTATTTATGATCACATCTTTCTCCCAAATCTAGCAATTTTTTAAAAACATGTAATTTTATGTCCTGTATTTGATTGAAATTGGATTTGTTAGTTTATCTAATAGTCGCTTTAAAGTGCATATTTTTACACTGGTTTAAATAGTGATGTATGGGATTATACACATGTGAGAATACAGTAAATGCATAAATTCATCTAGATTTGCCTGTAGAATTGCATAGAAGACTGAATGTTGGTCAAGGTCAAATTCAAATTTTCTGTTGAGCTTATTGGATTTGTCTGTCTTGACAGATGCTTCTTGGGAGTGGAGCTACTCAAGTCACCTGGTGAAGGTAACGATGTTGTCCTGAAGACTCTGTGGCATCATTCTGATGCCATTATGTGCTGCTCCTTGAAGGTGAGCCATTTGTGCTGCATCTTATTATTGAGCTTTCAAGATCGGAAATTCAGACGATTTTCGTCGTGTTTTCCCTATTTGATTTATAATGTTTCAAGATCTTTTGCTGTTGCTGTTTAATCAGTGATTATTTTTTCTAATTAGGATAATTGGATATATTTTCCCAAATCTTTGAAGACTCTATACTATGCTAAATATTACAATGGATCTAATTTTGCAAATATATGTAGGTTAGACTTGCTATCTGCATTATTCATTATTTGACTGGGGGACTATTCTTTTGCAGGCTTTGCCAGTTTTTACATTTGCCAATCAGGCAGGTCTTGACATGCTCGAAACAACCTTGGTTGCCCTGCAAGACATCACACTGGAGAAGATTTTGGATGACCAAGGACGAAAGACACTATGCTCAGAATTTCCTCAGATTCTTCAACAGGTTCAAACTATTGCTTTACCTACAAAACTTTTGGCTTTGAATAAAGATACAGAGTATATATCAAAGGAGGAAAAAAAGTCTCCACATTTGACATAAGTTGTTACTAACTGCTGATGCTATCATGTCCATTGAATTTCTCTGCAGGGTTTTGCTTGCCTTCAAGGTGGTATATGTCTGTCAAGCATGGGTCGTCCGGTGTCATATGAAAGAGCAGTGGCATGGAAGGTGCTGAACGAGGAAGAAAACGCTCACTGCATATGCTTCATGTTCATGAACTGGTCATTCGTCTGATACCTGGCAGCCTTAGTTCTAGTAGCACTAGCACTCCCGAGTTAAATACTTGAACAAAACAGGGTTATTTATGTGACTGTGAAGTAGTAATATGTTTCTTTTGCTCTCCTGGTTCTTACTAAGGAGACCTTGGTAAACTGAATCTATCTATGGAAGTTGCGTTACGGCTAGGCAGGCAGAGACCTGAAACTGCTTTTCTGTTTAATTTGGTGTCTCACCTTCTATGTTTTCTGTGCTTTATTCTTGGATTAGCTTACTTGCTAAAGGTTCGCATGATCTAATTATCGATTAACCCAATGAATGGTTGGAGATTTGATTGAACAATTTACTAACGTTATCCTGTTTAATGTGAAGTTGAGAAAGAACACTAATGAATACTCTGACATTATGATCATTATCTTAACACCTTCATAATTCACGACATTTGTAGTTTCACTTAATCTTCATTTAACACTTCGAACATTTCATTACTAAATTTGGGGACATTTGAATTTAACTCCTTTAACATCCCATCTTCATTACTAAATTTTAAGTGGGAGTGCACTTGAAAATCCACTTGTAAATTTGTAATATAGACCTACATATATTTAGGAAATATGATAATTCTTCAAACAATGAGAATAAGGAATTGAATTCGTACCTTGAGCAAATTGATAAGGGCCTGTTCTCATACGATTATTTTCAGTTCAATTTTGTTAAGCTCAGCTCAGCTCTTATAAGTTAAGTTCAGTTTAGCTCTAATAAGTTCAGTTCAGTTCAGTTCATTTCCTAATTTCCTTCTCTTATAAAATATTCAATTCAGTTCAACTCTAATAAGTTTAGTTCAGTTCAGTCAATGAGAACAGACCCTAAGCGTCTTATCCTAATTCTAAGAAATTTTGTAAATCGATTTTCATTACCTGCCCTTATAGTTATCTAAACAGCAAAAGTTAAAAAATTATTCACCACCTAATATGTAAAGTTTTTCCAAATTTCTATGTTGTCTCATAAAAAGTAGTAGTTGTTGCATAGGATACTAAAAGAATTTTCATGTGAAGCTTCACGAAAATAATTTTATTGGTTTCCTTGGTAGAAAATAAAAGATTATACATGAAGTGATTTTGCATGAAAATATCATTATCATTCTGTCCTAAATAATAGGGCACATAAGTTTTTTTTTAAGTAATTTAATTTTTAAAATTTTTACCTATTACATGGATACTTGGATAGTAATCATCTGTTATTGTACTTCCTCTTTCTTTATACTTGCACTTTGTAAATTGCAAACTCTTAGGTAGTTTTTGGAGATGAATAAGATAAATAGAATAATAAAAAAAAAGACCCATGTGATAGAAAAAGTTTATTAACTAAAATGAAAAGTAATGCAACTAATTTGAAATTTTCGTTTTAGGAAAGTGATACAACAATTAAAAAGAAACGGAAGAAGCATAAGTTATTATGTTTCTCTCATATCAAACTATTTTCAGTTTCAAAATTATATTGTCCATCAAGGACAATATGGAAAACTAATTCTTATTGTTCAATCTACCAATAAATTTGGAAAGTACTATAATTTTTGGGACAAAATAGGATTGTGGCCTATATTTAGGTAGGCTGAAGATGATGGTATGATTGTTCTTAAATAAGACCTTTGCTAAATCATTTAATTTCTTTCCTTTTTAATTATATCTCAAATTGAATATAGCCAGATTGACTAAAGATTAAAACATAAAGCTGATTGTGTAATTGAGAAGACTAAATAAATATAATTCATAAAATAGCTAGTTAAGTAAGCAAAAAAGATCTAAAAGATACAAACTTTTTATTAGTTTTTTCATAATACAAAATATTACAAGAAGACATCCGGTTTAGCCGAAAGGAAAGGCCTAAGATGGCATCTCCAATGGCTTAACAAACAAGATGGTAGCCTCATTACATAGACATATTACTATTATTAGTAGACAAATTAAACTAATAATGGTACTCATCAACTCATTTAGTATATGCTACTTATGAACCCACTCAAGAAACCCTAAAAGGGTGTAGGTGTAGAACAAATAAAGTGGGATCATCATTAGCACAACTTATGTTAATCCAAGAAGATAAACCCCCCTTAAAACCAAAAAAAGGAGGTGTTAAAAATAATGAATAATCTGATGTTGTCAACCATCAAAAACAACCCTAGAAGTTAAAAAGCTTAATGAAAAGTAAATTAAAGCAAAACAAATACATGCCAATTGATAAGTTAGTTGTCAATAGTAAGGTCATTCATCATGGAAGGCATGCAACTTGAGCTCCTAGTGATGCCACCCTTCTTTTGAGCACCTTTGAGGTCTCTAGGGCTTAAAGACTTGGCTCTAATCTTAGTGCTCTTCTTTAAGATCTCTCTCATGGCTTCGGCTTGGCATAGGACCGGATAAGCCCTACCGAGCTTATTGAACCTATGACAATGGCTCATGTGAGTTTCTAGGGCTTCCTTACACATCCCTCCATTTTTCTCCATTTCTTCCTTTACAGCCTCAGAGCACAACCCACATATCCACTTACCTTGAAAGTTGTCACGTACACGCTTTATGTACTCCGGTGTGTACTCCTCACTCATCCCACAACACTCACACTTTGCATCTTCTGCTTCTGAGATAGGTGGGAGAGCTTGTGATTCTTCTATCTCCCTATCCATCTCCTTGCTTAACTCGAAAGCAATGTCAGAGACCGTCCTCTTAAGGTTGTCATTAGCAAGCTTTGGTGGTCTTGAGAAGTTTCTTGTAGGCATGGGGAAGGATGAAAGAACCGCCTCTCCATGTGGTGGTGCCATGACTAATATGAGAAAGTTTAAGGTTGAGAATTATGTAATTGTGTTTAAGGTTGTAGTAGTTTGGAAGACAGACGAATTACTTGTTTCGCTTGAGGGTTTTTCCAGTGCTGATGAATAAGATAAGTGTAAATGGAATGCTTATTTATATGGGTACAAGCTCTAGGGGACTTGAGATTTGAACGTAAGATCTTGTGGACCAAATAGTAGTATGTGTCAAAGTCTAGATTTTTCTTGAAAATTTACGTGACTACAAAAGCATGCAGTTGAAGGTCTTTTTCATGCAACATATGTAAAGTTGAGTGTGCATTTTATTTCTGTGGAGATGCAAAAAGGATTGCATGCATCTTTTTTTAGTAGGATTTATTGCATTGTTATGTGCCATGAATTCAGCTTTCTGCATGGAAAAAAAGTTGGTCTTTTATCTATTTATTATTTTTTTTATATTAATTTATTTATTGTTAAAAAATCTAACATTGTATATAGAAGTATAAAACTGAATTATAACTATATTTTTTTTTTTTTTTGTAAACACGAGATTCACGTATAGTAAGATAATAAAATTAGGGTGTTTAGAGGAAGAATATAACCTGAAATGTTGAGCTACCTAAGAATAGAGCGAGAATGAAAAGTTGTCTCTTCATTAGAAGATAAGGTTGCTTTAATTTGTTGAATTTGGACAATTTTGTCTAGTTAAATTAATTAGGTTACAGTCGTACCAAAGTCTATAATAAGCATGCATGGATGGCAGCATGAGAAGAAAGTTTTTATAACTAATTGGACATACAAGAATTTTATTACTTATATTTTGCACTAAACTTTGTGCTCCATGTACATAAGTATTTTGGAGTACACATGTATTCTCTTCTTTTATTTTAATGGTTCCCTTTGACATTTTGCACTATTCATTAAGTGGCATTGACTATTTTATTTATTTATTTATTTTTACTAAAGTATAAATAGTTATGAATTTATCTACAATATTTTCATGATTCATGATATATTAACTTTTGTATGCTATACAAATAGAATATATATCAAAAATATTGATGGAAGACGGTCAAAATTGTGTATTGACAAACATGTCGATCATATTGTTACATTAAAAAAAAAGAGTAATAATTAATAAAACATGCAAATATTGTTGCATTTTATTAATTTCTAAAAGGAAAATTTGTTAAAAAGGACCTTTTAAGTGCATTTCTTTGTTAAAAAGGACCTTTTAAAGCTAAAGTTGTCTAGAGGGTACAAATTTTGGAAAAAAATTTGTGACTTGGGACCACTCGCCGGAAAGTCGAATTTGACCCACCAAGTACGGCGTTGACCACCCTAGCCCAACCCCTCCCCCTTCCTCTTTCATGGCAGACCACACCCCCCCCCCCCCATTAGCCCCCTCTCTCCCCCTCCACTGTCTAAGCGACACCCAAGCCGCCTCCCTTTCCTCAACCCTGATCCTTTTTCTCGCCTGATTACCCACCCCCTCCGTTTTCGACTTAATCTCCGGTAAGGGTTCGATCTTAATCTCAAAGATCTCAACTTTCCCCAAATTCGTCACAAATTAATCCAATTTCATACCCTAATTTCATTAAACTCGATCACTCAGAAATTTGATTTCATCTTCTCTCTTTGCTCCATTCTCTCATCCCTAAATTACAAGGTTTGAATTGGGTGGATGAAATCGCTTGAACATATTTACAGTAATCACAATGGAGGAAAGGGAGTGGAGGTGGGGAAAGGGGAGAAGTGGGTTGCGGCCGTGAAAGGGATGGGACTGGGGTTTCGGGATTAGTGTCGGCAACGGAGGATAAAAGGGGGTGGCTGGGGCTGTCGACTTGTCGTGATTTCGTGAATGGGGAGGGGGAAGAAGGAGGCGATGGGGTGGAGGAAAATGGTGGCCGCAAGTGCTGGTTAATGCCGGAGTTGTGCAGTCAACTTTGGCTTCCGGCAAGTTGTCCCAAGTCACAAATTTTTTCCAAAATTTGTACCCTCTAGACAACTTTAGCTTTAAAAGGTCCTTTTTAACAAAGAAATGCACTTAAAAGGTCCTTTTTAAGAAAATTTCCTTTCTAAAATTATAGTAAGTGCTGCCATGCTGGTTTGTTATAGGGTAATTAGGGTGCCAAATGAAGAGAATGAAAAATGTACTTGTATAATTTAATAAGTATGTTATTTAATTAGTCTGAAAGCTTAAATATGAAAGATACTTAAGCTAGATATGATAGTGTATAAAACTATTTGTAGAATTGTGTAATTCTCCTTAGTCGGAGTATGCTCATTAATAGAATATATAGAGGAGTGTTTACAAAACCTAATCCATGAGAATACAATATTTCCTAATTACACAAAGTATATTATCACAGAATATTTATGGAGAATATTTTGGATTGTCGCCTGTCATGGTGTGAAACGCTAAACATCGCCCGCAATTTACCATATAAAGCCCACAAATATGATATGGTTTGACCATTATGCCCTTTTTCTAAAATTGAAATAATCTCGGTGTAAAAAATGTGGAGCCGTACTGGCTCGCCGGGGGAGACCGGAGGGCAAGCCGGAGATGCGGGGGACGCCGGAGGTACGTCGTCGTCGACGGAAAACGAGGTAAGTCACCGTTAAAATTCACGGTTTACCGTCGGAGTGGCTCCGGCGCCTAGGGTGGACGCCCAAACCGTAGCCTGGACGTCCAAGCCAGACGCCAGAACCACCAGAGTGGCGTCCATCCCAGACGCCCAGACCACCAGACTGGCGTCCTGGGCAGGCGCCACTCCACTGGGTGAGGCGGCCCTGCCAGGCGCCAGTCCAGTGGCTGTGGCAGCCCTGGCAGACGCCACCCTTATAAATTTTTTTTTTTTTTCTTTTTTGATTTTGTTGTTGTTTTTTATTTAATTTTTTTTTAAAAAAAAAAATCGAAAATGATTTCTTAAAAAAATTCGAAATGGGTTTTTTTAAAATTAAATTTGAAAATTCGAAATAGGTTTTTTTAAAATTAAATTTGAAAATTCGAAATGGTATATTTTTAAATTTAGTTTGAAAATTCGAATTGGGTTTTTATAAAAATTAAGTTTGATTATATATAATTATGCTTTTTTTTTGTGTTAATTCTGTGTAAATATAGAAATTAAATGTATTATCCGTTAAATGAATTTATTGTAATATATAATTGATGCAGGAATATGGTGGAGACGGAAATGATTACAGTGGGATATTTGGACATGATGGTCCATTCGAAAAAGCTCAACAGGCGATTGATTGGGCAAAACAGGTTGCAATTGCAGCTGGATTTTGCTTGGTAGTAGTAACTCATAAATCTCAACGGGATGGTAGAATGGATCGCATTTTGAGATGTGACCGTTATCGCAAAAGAGAAGAAAGAGATTTTCGTACAGCCACTCGGTTTGATACAAAGCGGAAAGGTTGTGGGTGTGAGTTCAGAGTAAAGGTTCGACAACTACGGAGTCGTGACGGTTGGGAAGTGATTGGTTACTCTAAATGGGGGTATCACAACCATGAGATGATAGTATATGAAGAGGGTCATCGACAACTGAGCGGCTTAAGTCCTGCTGCGAAACTAGTTGTGAAAGAAATGAGTGATGCTCAAGTGAAGCCTGCTAAAATATTAACATCTGTGTTAGAGAAATTTCCAGAAGACCATCCAAACCGAAGACACATCTATAACGTCAGACAGCAACTCAGGTTTGAACGGTCAGAGGGAAGGAAACGCCACAACCGTGGCTCTGGCGTCCAGCCCAGGCGCCAGCCAACTGGTGGCGGCGTCTGCAGCTGGCGCCACCACCGCTGGCTGGGCGTCCAGCCAGGGCGCCCCACCGCCGTCACGGCGGTTTTTCCCTTTTTTTTTTTTAACAAAATGTACCTTTCCTCCTTGGGACATCCTTCCCTCCGCCGCCGCCGCCAATTCCTTGCCTTGCCGCCTCGACATTGCCGTTATTTGAATTTTTTTTTTTTTTTAGAGAGGTTGAAAGAAGATGAGCAATGAGAGTGTGAGTGAGTGATGAGAGTGTGAGTGTTTTTTTTAAGGTCAAGGGCAATTTTGGCAAACCAAGTGAATTTTGTGGGCTTTATGTAGTAATTTGTGGGCGATGTTTAACAAATCCCGTCATGGTAGTACGTTGAACGGAGCGGAGAAGGGTAAGGTACGGCTAGGCACAGGTCTAGAAAAGTTAGGGTTTGGAAATCAAGAGAGAGAAAAGAAAAACTCTAGGTGGCTATGATACTATGTAGAATTGTGTAATAATTCTCTTTAGTGAGGAGTATTCTCATTAATAAATATATATAGGAGTGTTTACAAAACCTAATCCATGAGAATAATAACACAAAGTACATACAAAAAAAAATATATATTGAGAATATTAGCATATTCTCTATCACTATTATTGTTGTCTAGGAACTCTAATCATATGCTTAACCTTTTAGGATTTTAGCGGAGTTGATCTCTGTACATAGGCCCCGTTCACTTCATCTTAATTTTGCTAAACTGAAATTATTTTTACTGAACTGAAATTATTTTTGCTAAACTTAAATTATTTTTACTGAATTGAAATTAATTTTACAGAACTAATTATTTTTACTAAACTGAAATTATTTTTATTGATTTACTATTATATTTATTCTTTAAGTATACTGATTTTTGCTAAACTGAAATTATTTTTACTAAACTGAAATTAATTTTGATGAACTGAACTTATTTTTACTGAACTGAAATTATTTTTACTAAATATTATTTTGTAAGGTGTAGTGAACCGGGCTATAGTATCATCAAAAAGAAAAACAAGAATGTAATGGGGTTAAATATCATGATAAAAATGTAAAGAGCTGTAATTTGTTTGGGGTATAAATTATGAAGTATAATATTTCAATATTATTATAGATAGATAAATTTTTTCTAATTTTTTTTAAACAAACTAATTCATTAATAAAAAGCTATATGAGATCTACAAATAAAATCTAAATTAGGCCCTGTTCACTTTAGCTTAAAAAATAATATTAAGTAAAAATATTTTCAGTTCAGTAAAAATAAGTTCAGTTCAATAAAATTAATTTAAGTTTGGTAAAAATAATTTTAGTTTTGTAAAATTCAGTTATCTTAAACAAGAATTATAATAGAAAATCAGTAAAATAATTTCAGTTTATCAAAAATAATTTCAGTTTAGCAAAAATAATTTCAGTTCAGTAAAATTAATTTAAGTTAGTAAAAATAATTTAAGTTCATCAAATATAATTTTGTTTCAGTAAAAATAATTTCAGTTCAGCAATAATAAGGTGAAGTGAACGAGACCTTAACAAATATATAAAATTGAATCAAATTATTTTCTTCATCATAGCTACAATCGTTGAATAGGTCTTGCATTGTGGTACATCTCTCGCACACACACACACACACACACACATACGTGCACGCGCACACACACACATATTGCCAGAATATGCGATCTTTTCGGAGAGGCGACCTAACAATGTTGTTGTAGCCGTAAAGATAATTTTTATCTAATTCACTTGAATGTATTTGAAAATTTGACAGCCGTTGCGATTTCGAACAAATCTTTACCAATATAATGAGAATAGGGGAAAAGGTGATTACTTTTTTCTTTCTTTTTTAAAAAAAAAAAAAAAAAAAAAACTCTGATACATGCGCGCGCGCACAAAATTAAACCAAAAAAAAAAAAAACAAGAAGAAGAGAGAACATAAACAAGAACAAATCATTAAACAACTAAAAAACTAACGACTCCACTGTAGAAAAACATATAGATAGATTATTAATTTAAGGGTAATGCTATACATAGCCCTTAGGGCTATATATAAGCATTGAATTTACTCTTGGAAAATGTATAAAGTTAGGAATTCATGACAAAAACACGCGCAAATCGGTGTAATTAGTGTGTTTTTGTCGTGATTTTCTAAATTTAAACAATTTTCAAGAGTAAATTAAATGTTTATATGTAGCCCTTAGGGCTATGTATAGCATTTTCCTTAATTTAAAAAGCATGCTTCTTAAGCAATTGTTTACAAAATAAAATAAAAATAAAAGAAATTTAAAACCCCTTATATTCTTCATGGTTAGAAATTTGCCATGCATGTATGTCATCGGCAATTAATCGAAAAAGAAGCTGTTGGCATTATTGCGTAAGCTACTTGCACTTCGTCTATGGTTAATTTGAAAAGCATCATTTCTAGCCACAATCATCATGTATAATTATGATGCCAAGGATTAATTAAAAAAATAATATAAAAAATTTTATGGTTGAATTTGGTTACTTCTTTATCGTTTAATTTCCACCAAATATTTGATTTGAGTTTTCCTTAAGTTATGGTTTGAAGCAATTTCAAGTTGTCATAATATCTATAGTTTAAAGACTTACAACCCCTTAAATGTATGTGTGTAAATACTTGGAACACAGCTACACGAGGTGATCTAGTTGACTGACTGAGTGACTAAAAAGATGCTTACCGACTTATAATTAACTTGGAAAGTTATTCTAAGGTTAAGAAATGATTAATCTTATGAGCGTACTTGTTATTCAATAAATATAAAACATTATAATTGTCATATTACAATCACTATAAAATATTCATTTATAACAAAAATAAAGTAGTAATTTCCTTCAAAAATATACTCCATATAATATAAAGTAGTAATAATTTGGCTCCTTTGAGCTTGATCTTATTAAACAAGCTTAAATAATCGAGCTTTATTGATTGTGAGCCTAGCAATTTGTAATTCCAATCATTTTAATTTGTTTTGATGAAAGTAGGCAGCACCTAGCGAAGCAACACTTCTAAGTAGCTACTCGTAATGCGTAATATATATAGACAAACTAATGTGATTTAAGCTAGAGTTCAAAATGAAGTAGTTAAACTTGCAAATAAAAGGAGCACATAATTACAACATTTGCTTTCATAGAATGAAATAGTTTATGTACTCCTTTGATACTTTACTACATGACTATTGATTGATTTCCATTTTGTACATTTGATGCCATAAGTTACAAATGTACTATACTTCCTCGTCTCACTTTACTTGCTTCATTTAGATTATACATGTTTAGTATAGCTAATAACTAATTGTTGATAGTTGGTAGCACTAATAATCGATTTGATTAGCTGGTTTTATCAATTGATAATTTGTATTTGTTGTGGTACTTAAACACATGAAATGAAAAATAAGGACATTGACAATGAGTAGGTAGGAATGTAAATTATAGTAACTTAAGGACGAAATTGCCCTTTTGGTAAAATTTAATTTGTCAATTTGTTAATCGAAAAAGCTCCATTTTTAATTTCTTACTAGCATTTTCAACTCACTCAGCTTGTTGCTTGAAATTAAAAACTCTTTTACTAAACAAGCAAAGGAGAAGGTTTTGCGTGAGACCGTTTCATGTGAGCAAAGTAGCTAGTTATGTAGTTGGTTTATGTAGTCAACCTTCTCATTTGATCAAATTAGCTCATTTTTTTTTCAATACTCTCTTCACCAACGTACCTCTTTTTTTTGTTAAAATGTAAAATGAGACAAGTAAAGCAAGATTAGGTTTGTTCTTTTCAGCTTAAGTTCAGTTAAGATCCAATCAATTCAGTTCCTAATTTCATTCTCTCATAAACAATCCATTTCAGTTCAGTTCACTTCAGCTCCAATCAGTTCAGTTCCGCTCAGTTCAGTAAATCCGAATAGTCCTAAGAGATTGAGTACAAATTTGTAAATTTTAAATTGTTAGCTTGAACGAGCTATAAACAAGCTATAGGTGCACTGTACATGCATTGAAAATGGCAGATAAAATGATTATAAACTTTGCCTTAGGTATGTTAGTACATTCTAGATCGTACTCCACATAAATTATCTTTACAAAAATAGGCTAAAGAAAGGGAAATAATGAAAAAAAAAAATAGAGTTTTTGGTATGGATGAGAATGAATATCAAATGCATGGATAAAATTTAGTTTACAAACTTTATACAATGAATAGTATCTAATACTGAAATTAGGAAGTATGTTAATGAATACATAAGTTAGCTAAGTCAAGTATATGATTTAGTAGTTGAAAGAAATCACGTGTGTTCATCTTATAACCATAAAAGCTAAGCTATTGCATGCATGCACACCAAAGCTATTGCATATTCACGGGTGAAATTTCATGCAAAGTCATTTTCTTTGTCGCAGAAATAGTTTGGTAAATCAGTTATCAAAAAAAGTTAGTCAAAAAAACTAGTTAATTCTAAATGAACTTTGATGCTTTGATCATTTGGTCCTTGATCTTTCAATCATTTTCTTCTTTTAATTTTGTTGGTGCTTTTTAAGAACGCTTGTTGGTATGAGGTGCGGCTGATGTTTGTTCCTCAAATATCTTTGTTTGTACTTGCATTTGAACCCACACATATTATTAAATTTGATAACTTCGTAATAAAAGGATACGATCAAGGATGTCAACTGGTGTATGAATTAGGAGGGCCATAAATTTTAGATTAAGGGTGTGCGTACGTGTATGAATTACGAGGGCCATAAATTTTAAATTAAGGGTGAGTGTATTATGTACGTATACATGATGGATTATGTTGTTTCTTGTATACTTTAGTTTTAAGACTTGGTTTAGATTAATTGATCAGAAGTTATATTACATCTATTATAAAAATAATATCAGTTTCAATATTAATCTGAAAATAAATAATTCTTTGTTTTGCGAATTTTGTTTAATGGACTTGAATATTTAAGATTTCATCAATGACAAAAAAACTTTGTATCATGTTGAATTAGTAACCTAAATTGATTAAAACAAATTAGTTTGTGACGATCCCCCTTAGTACCTTACTCCTCTAGTAGCCACCTTTAACAGCCCCAACTTCCACCCATCCTTGCCATCACTATCTTAGTGGTCCTTTGGTTGAACTTGGGATGTTACAGTGTTACACTCCCATTGTATTTTCACTTCCTAGAAATTTAGTGATATTATCTAATTCATCATCTATCATACGTAGTAGTAATTTGGAATTTCCACTTAAAATGTTTACATACCTAAGTGGGACTAGGTAATCAATAACTTCTCTGTGACTACGTAATTAACATCTCAAATTTTACGTGAAAGTAAACATCTTTAGCAATATTTTCTTGTCTATTTTTTTTTTCCCCTTTTCTTTTTTTTTTGACAGAGGAATATGTTCTTGTCAACCAAACAAGTTCTATAGTGTTTAAATCTTAAAGAAGTAGATTACCCATGAATTAGAATGTCGTCAACTAAATACACCTCACAATTTTCGACTAAAACAATTGAGAGACCCAATCCACCCTAACAAACTTGTAGAAAATGCAATATGGTGGTGGTTGACAGGCAAATTAATGCCTATGTAGGAAGTATGCGCATCATGGGGCTGGAGATGGGCTAGGTCTCTCGATTGTTGGGGTCTAATTCTGTATTAGGGGAAGTGGATTACTAGCCATTAGGGACTGCTGTCGGTTACTGGCTGTTGGGGCTTGTTGGTGACTATATGTTGAGGGTTCGGTAGTGCTTGTATAGGTTGGTTGTGGTAGAGGTGCACCAGTGGCTTTGAAGTTGGTTGTTGATTTGATATGGTTGGATTCAGGGGTGACTTGTGTTTGAGGCTGGGGCAGAGTGATCATGGTGGCAACAGGTTGGTGATTTCCCAAAGGCAACAACGAGGGGAGCGGTGTTGCCGTGTTGGTAGGGTGGTCACTGGTCAGTTAATTAATACAATTTACCATTCGATTAAGAAATATCAATGTTGAAATTAAAATTTGACATTTATTCAGTGAGACTTTAGTTATCATCATCAAGAGGATAAAAGCAGAAAGAAAAGAATTCGTATTATATATAGAAATTTCTTGCAACACCAACCAGAAACTCTTCTCAAATTCCTACAGTAACCTGCAAGGCTATGATGCATCGCATTTGAATAAGTTTTTAGCCACAAGAACACCTAAAACAACAAAAGCAAACGCGGAAAAAGCTCCTTGCCTAGAAAGCATGAATTCACTCCATGTTAAAGGCCGGGTGACTACATGCAATACATTCTGAAATTGTACTTTCAACTCATCTAATGATCCAGTATTATCAATCACAATGTCCGCTTTGCTCCTCTTGGAATCCAGGGACATCTGAGCATTTATTTTGTTATTAGCTTCCTCATCGTTTATTCCATCTCTTGAAACCAATCTCTTTAGCTGTGTTTCGCGATCAACCCATACAGTGATGATAGGCTTAGTCCATTTGTCCATTTTGGCCTCAAACAACAGTGGGACGTCAAGAACAATCACCTTGTGTCCCTTTAACCACAGCTTCAGTATTTCTTGGAGGATGCCAGAGGAAATAAAAGGTGCCAAAAGCCTGTGGCATGATGCGCACAACATTAACATATCATACACGTGACTGTTAGCATGTTGCCGAAAGAAAATACTCTTTCTGAACATAAACTGATAAATTCAAACTTTAAACTCCCCTAGATTTGCCCCCTAACTAGAAAATAAGTCCTCAAAGCATGGGATTGCACCAGCCATAAAAAGTCAGACCTGGCAGTTGGATAGAAAATGGACATCCAATGAATGTCTATTGCTTTAAATACGTGAGGTATGGGCGTATGGCAGCAAATGTCATAATCTCAACTTCCATATTGCTCATGCTAACATGCAATGATGAAAGAATTGCAAAGGAAAACTACTTTATCAGATTCTGCAGGAAGATTTACTCTACCGGTTAAGTAGTTGACGCTTATCAGGATTGGAGAATACTATACGTCCCAGCGCAGGTCTATCCACTTCTCCATCAGGTTGTAGAATGTCATCCCCAAATGCTTCCACAACCTTCTTCCATCCACCTGTGCCTTTCTTCAATGCATCCTGAAATCAGAAACAGGATCATAAATACTAGCATAAATTGTAATGATGTACGAATTGTTCAAAATGTACAAACAACAAATTTGGTTTCAAGACAATTAATATCATGCTTGTTATCATTACTCCATTACCACAATCAGGGCTCTCCGTTCTCACCTGACAGGGTGGATGGCACTCATGGCAGATATGTGATCTTACCCAGCAATTACAGAGTGGTTGTTGCTACATTTTCCTAATAATAAAGTCAAATTTTTCTTGAGTGTGTATGCTATCACAACAGAGCCCTCAATCTCTGACCACGAGCAAATTTTGAGGTCAGAACCAAAAACTTGCAAAAGAAAAAAGTGGGAAGAAATTCTTCTATAGGCTATAGAAAGAGTTACTGAGAAACCATAGTTTTTCATTAAGGGAAAATTCATAAAATTATGTATATGAAGAATACAACAACAACAAAGCCTTAGTCCAAAAGCATTATGTATATGAAGAATAAAAAAATAAAATGGAATGAGAAAGTACTCTAGTTCAGTTCATAAGAAATGAAATGTCAAATAGTCTGCGCTGAAGCAAAGGAAAGTCTTCTTCATTCTCAGGTGGGTGTCTGTCCAACCAATTTATACAATAAATGGAAGGCTTTTACACTACCTAGAAATCTAAATCAAGTTCACTAATTGAAGCCTTTGCTTTGGAAAAGTACACAGAAAATGATTAAATCCTCAAACTTAGTGCTAGGAATTAGCTTCCCTGCAAGGTAAAACAGAGAATCACAGAAGGATTAAGAGGTAGAAGAAGGATAGTATGTATTGATGAATAGCAGAACTCAATCAATACACCTTTCAATTCGAGAAGAAAGGAGCTCTCCAAAACTAAGCAAAGCTTAACAATATTTTTAGCATGATTATTACAACTGAATGACTGATTCCCCTCCCTAAGCTTAGCCAGCTAAACAATCCCTTAAAGATTCTTCTCTCTCTAAACAAACTTCTCTAACAGAATTATTATAGCTAATGACTCCTCTGCCCCTGCTTGGTTAATTAATATCACCGCCCTTGCCATGCTTCCTTCTTGCGTAAGTGAACACTATAGGAGGTCTGGAAGGATCTCTAGCAAGGACCAAAGAAAAATCTAACACATTCCACTTCAGGCTACCAAACGTCACATGAGGGAAATGAGCACAGCACATTCCACTTCATGAAGTTTAATGTCACATAAGGGGAATTCATGCTACCTAATATCTTATAAAAGGATAACTCTTAACTAAATTTTAATTATAACCATTAGAAGACGTTCAAGACTTTTAAGTGTGACACTGATGACAATCAGTTTCATTACATTCCTGCTGATACAAAAAATGAAGCATCACCAAATATAAGATAGAAGCAAACAGAACTCCATCAAGATGCAGTCATGTAAAATCACTAGTACCTAATTTAGTACCTAACTTTAACCAACTCTTAAGAGTCATCCCAACCCTTGCTCAATGGAAAATTACCAAAATCCAAAGAAAAATTTGATTAATTCGATTCTCAACATAATTTCCAAACCCTTTTCTATACCATCCTCTCCACCAAGTAAAACATAAAAGCATTGAATCAACTCAGCCAGAGTAACACCAAAAAAATCAAATTAGACATCCAACAATTGATATTAACGATAACAATTAGGACTAAATAGGCGATGCATATTAAAAGTCAGTAACACAGTCATCCAAAATCAAAATCAATAAAAACCCCAATGTTGAAAGAGAGGTAGAAGAAGAAAAATACCCGAGCAACCACATCAGCATCTACGACGGGAATGCCTTGAGCTTTGAAGAGGTTGGAAACAGTGCTCTTCCCAGATGCAATCCCACCTGTTAGTCCAACAATTCTCATCTCCTCTGTAGGGGATTAATAGTGTACCAACTGCACCAAGAACAATTGACAGCCAGTAAGATAGTCATTGTTTGGACATGCCACTTTCCCGGCAATGTTCTTCAACAGATTTCACTTCTGATCATATAACTATTATTGAGTGAGATTTTAACTGATTATGGTTTTGTAATACACATAATTGTTTAATATAAGAAACTCAAAGTAGTGATATGTCAAATTAGATCCTGTTAATTTGACAACTTTCACAGAAGTTCATATTTCAAATGAAGTCTCCAACACTAGTTCTTAACCTAAATAAATACAATTGCCCATCTGTTTTACAGCAAAGTTCATATAAAGTTGCCAGTATAAAAAAAAAATACAGATTTAGGTATATGAGTAAAGCAGAATACAGTTCGACAGTCAGTTCCAACCTGGAAGGTTAAATCATGAAGGATCAATCACAAGTGAATAGTTCAGCCAAATTTAGAGTGAGTACTAATATAAATAGCAAAAAAAAGTCAAAAAATAATCAAAATTCTCATTTTTAAGGAAAATCCTGAAGCAAAATTTTGGCAAAAATCATATGAGCAAATCATTATCCTTCAATGTTATGGACTGGGTCAATAGCCCAAGTCAACCACCCTTATTGGTGTACACGAGGTGCAAAAAAGGGAGCAACAAGGGGCAACAACAAAGAGCAGCAGCAGGAGGCATTTCTATGCAACAAGACAACTTCAATTAAGAAGGAATTGATGAAGGAAAGCAACCAGCTTCAACAATGTCTGCTTATGGTTTTTCTAAATTAGTAAAGAAGTCACATGTATTCACTTTAGGGTTAACCTTAGTCATTAGAAGTCATGAGTATAAATATTGTAGTATGTTTTAACAGTAGGATCATCCAGAAAATTGAGTGAACTCTTGTGAGATTAGTAGCCTAAAGCTATACTTATCCCTCTTAGTTTGTAATCCGAATCTTAATCAATTAATACTCAACCTTTTGCCCCTTCGAATGATATGCATTTAGCTTAATTAGTGTGAGTGAAATCTGATACATAAAATTCAATCAAATTTGGGGAAATCAAACCTTAGCTCTCTAGCTTCAACAACAACAAAAAAAAAAAAAAAAGATTTTGAATTATATTTCGAATGCATTTAATATACATAGCTACCTTAGAATCTTAGATAAGTAGAGGGACAACGTCAATTTCTTGGCTAATTTCTACACAAGCAAAGAATGGTGAAGCCTTTGGTTGTAATGTTGAAACTCCGAAAAAGAGGGATTAGATTTGAGATAGGAGAGAGAAAGAGAGAAATTGGAGTTGAGATAAGCGGGAAAGAAAGAGCAATTGTGTTAATGTATCATCGTAGACGTTATGTGATTCAAGAAAAACAGCACATAAATAAGAACAGAAAGAGCTTGGAGACTTTCGAGTTATGGAGTACACTTGTAGCTTATAGATTGTCATTTTGAATCATTATTATTTTTGAGCTTTTAAACTACATGGGCCAATTTCATGACATATTCTTGATTATCCAAAAATTAGATTTCATGTTTTCATCCACACTTTACATTCGAAATGAAAAAATGCTATCCAAGCAAGCCACTAGGTTCTTTTTTTAATTTATGCGATTTTTTAAAATTATTATCATATTTTTTTTTTTATTTTTTTTTTGGCTTTTGTAATTCTTGTTCATAGTGGCAGCACAAAATTGCATAATGTACCTGATCTTTAAGATGGAAACCATTCCCTTCATTCCTGTTAGTTTGTCTTATTTGACTTATTGTACAGTTTTTGAAACACAAATTTGATCATTGTTATCTTCAATCTTGAATCAAAAGAAATTATAAAAAGTTGATGCACCCACCATCTAGCATTAGTTGCAACGCCGTGACATTGCTGACTTTACATTTTTAGGTGGTTAACTCTGTTATGATCTCTTAATCTCTCTAAATTACAAATATCTACAGTAAACATAAATTGCATATTCTGAATCACGCTCACAGGTATTCTTTCCCAAACAGCACCACACACCACTAGACAAAACCAAGTTTTTCAGAGACATGCTTAATTGGTTCATGCTCAAACACAAATACATTTGCAAAAACCCACAAATACACATCTGCACAGACACACACAAGCACAACACAAAGCATCCATTTGCCTACCAGCAAAACACTTGTGTTACCAAAATATTTCCCCCATAAAACACATGCATAGCAGCAACTTGATTACAGTTTAGCACAAGTTTTCAAGATGAAAATAATACCCAAGAATGAAACACATTTAGTTGATACTTGATAGTAATAGATTACGCCCAAGAATGACCTCAAACAAAATATTAAACTATAATCATGTACCAAAAATAATAATACGGAGTATATAGCAAGCTAATACAAATATACAATGCCATTTATTCTGTTTTAAGTAACTCTAGAATGCTCAATAAATATATAAAAATATTCATGTGCCAAAGACATATTTTATACTCAAAGGTCTTAAATCCACTTACAACAAGAGAAAAATAAACTAACTATTATGATAGAAAATTAGTCCAGTTCACTCACTATTATAATTGAGGTCACAGCAAGAGATTTTACAAATTCTATACTTTGCTAGAGCCACTAATCCTCAATATTATCATAAATAAGAAGCACAAATCAATAATCCTAATCAAAATGGAAATTACAATTAAAAAAAATAAAAATAAAATTCGAATAGAATATCAAAATTTAAACCAAAAAGAATCAAAGTACACACCTAGAAAACCCAAGCAAAGAGAAAAGAAGCTGTTGCAGTATGTCTGGGTAGCCACAAGCCTACAATCATGAGCAAAAAAAGAAAAGACAGAAAAGTGAAATTAACTGGTCAAACTTAAACCAGAAATAAGATAATAATACAAGTCCTAGATTCAATCAAAAAGATAACTGGAGAGAAATCTTGATTCTCGGTCGATAATAAATAAATTCATTTTCATTAAGGATAAAGATCAATGTCATTTCAAGTAAAGTACAACATATCACCACAAATACCGTGTGCATGGTATATAGGTACACCATAAAACACGACACAAAGAGTGTATTCCATAATTTCCATCTCCTTAGTACACTCACACAGTTACCTTGTGAATCTTACCGGTTAACCCATATAGTAGTATAGTACTATCCACCTCCATGGCCAAGGTCATTTTATCAATACTACTAATGAACCAAGCCTCCTAAATGACACCTAAAAAAGTATTGCTAGCAACACTCGCTTCACTCGCTTCCCCTGACCAGTTAACAACTGCAGCAGCAAACACTACATCCCCTGCTTCTATCTCCCTCGCCTCACAACCCTTGCACTCCACCCTCCCTGCCAGTCAACCCACAGCAGCCCACACACCAAGAGCCGCACCCTTACCTCCATCTCCCTTGCCTAATCATAACACAACAATAGCAGCCCTCTCTGACATCTACACAACAGTCACATTGCACTCCCTTGCTATCCAATGCATCCAGCAGGCCAGCACCAACACTTCCCAAGAACCTCCCTCAAACCCAACAACCCCTGCACTCCCTCCTTGGTGCCCAACAAAACACATCCCATCAGCCACGCACCTTCACTGCACTCCAGTGGCGGATCAAGGATTCGGGCGGGGAATGGGGGTACGAACTCAATTAAAAAAAAAAAGTATTTCAATATAAAACAAAATTTAGCAACAAAAAAAAAAAAAAAAAAAAAAAAAAAAAAAAAAAAAAAAACATAATTCGTATTACAAATAATGAAGAGAGAAAGATTTTCGCATTAAATTTTACAAATACAGACAACAAGTTTTCATAATTTGAATGCAAATAATTACATCATCATCACTAACTTGCAAAAACAAGTCCATCTCAATAAATGTAATTAAACAATCATTCATAAATTGGTCACCAATGCTATTCCGCAATTTTTTTTCGCAATAGTCATCGAGGAAAAAACTCTTTCCGTAGTTGCGGTTCCAAGCGCAATAATTTTGGCATGAATTAAAACCCATGATTTGTATTCTTAAAGTATTATAAACTTTTGTTTTTCATCTTCCAATTTTAGTACTGTATATAAAATCAAAATACATAATTAGTCTAAATCAAATAGCCAATATCAATTACACAAAACAATTGGTACAAAATTTTGGCAAGAATTGCATATAAAATTAGTCAATTAGACAAAGTATTTAACTTATTTTAACAATTCCAATCAACCAATCTGTTCAGCAGTTAGCTAATAAAGTAGGGAGTAAATCCACAAATAATCTAAGTTATCCAACAACTAATTCAACTATTAAAATTGAAAAAATTAAAACTAATTCAACAAATCAAGAATCAACCAAATATATATTCAATTAGTGTAACATTCTAACAAGTAAAAACTAAACAATATTATAATTCATTAAAAAAAAAAGCTGGAACGTTGAACAAATTAGAATGAAAAGTGAAAAATTGAAAGAAGTAAAGAACCGAATTACCGAGAGTGTGAGAGCGTGGCTGCGTGGGATGATGGCTCTGCCGCCAGCCTCCACCCACCGTGCAGGCCTGCCGGGAGTCGGAGCAACGCCGATGAAATTCAGATGTAGTTTCTCTTTGGGGGGGACTTGAGCAGTTGAGCCCGTCAAAATAGTAAATGAGGATTGAGGAGAGAGGGCGTACATTCAGGGACCGTTTTCATTGGCTGAACTCAGCTGAATTGAACTGAATTGAAATGAATATTTTATAAGAGAAGGAAATTAGGAGCTGAACTGAACTAAACTGAATTGTAATTTGTAAAAAAATATAATTAAAAAGCTTTTTGGGAAAAGAAAATATAATGTTAAAAAAAAGGAATTTTTTTTAAAAACAAAAAAATTGAAAAAAAGGAATTTTTTTTAAAAACAAAAAAATTGAAAAGAACCATTTTGAGAAGAAAAAAAATTAAAAAGCTTTTTGGGAAAAGAAAATATAATGTTAATATTTTTTTAGGACCTGTTCTCTTTTGTAATTTACTTCTCTCATAAACAGTTTAGTTTAGTAAATCTGAAGAGGCGCATAATACCTTTAATTCACTTCATTAACCTCTAATCTTTTCTATTTACTATTTAGCTCTCACTTAACCAATTAATAATAAAATTAACTTAATTTTTTTTTTAAAAAAAAACTAGGCACTAGCTAACCACCCCTCCCCTAACCGATTTGCCATTTAGAACCCCCCACCCCGGCAACCCAATCCCACCGCCGAGTCAACCACCCCTTCTCTTTCCCCTTTATCCTCACTATGAGTCTATGACCACATACCATAACACTATATAATAGTAACAAGGCTTTTTTGGGTGTTCGGACACACACCAAACACAATGACCAAGTAATTCTTGAACGACCGAGTAACCTTTAACCGACCGAGTAACCTTTGACCGACCGAGCAACCATTGACCCATGACCAACCGAGTAACTACGACCACACCGTGTGGCCAGCCTAAAGGTGATCAACATTGGCCCAGTTCGAAAATAAGGCAGGTTTGGAAAAGCTTTAACACACATTTTTAATTTTAAATTCCGAACCCGGCTCGACACTCGACAAGCTCGTCACTTTTTTGTGGGTTTGGACACAAGATATGATGTTAATGCCCGACCCAACTAGACTTTTTTTATCACCTCTAGGCCAACCATATATCAAAATCTGTATAATAATAATAACGGATTTTTCACCAAATACCATTGAGTTAAAGCTTAATTCACCATATACCACCAAAAACTTTATAATACACCATGTACCACTGAGTTTAATATAAATGTCACCAAATGTCCTTTTTCTTAACCCCGTTAGTCATGAAAAGTTAAATGTCACACGTGGCAGCCTCGAATTGGCTCTTACTTAAACTATTTACTTTAATAATTAATCAATTAATTAATTAAAAAACTTTAACAAAAATAATTAAAAAAAAAATAAAACCACCACCAGCTGTCAGCCATCTCCCCTCCCCACAACCGCCACCTTGCAGCCCAGCCCCTCGCCGCCTGCTCTCAGCCTTGAACCACCACCGGGTCGGCGCTGACTTTCACCGTACCCAGCCTTGCGCCGGTGCACGAATCTCTCCCTTGAACCACCATACCCAACACCTGACCACCTCCCTGCCATCCCCAATCACAGCCCCACGCAACCAATTCCCTTTCTCCCCCGCATCTCCAGCCGCACCGCTGCTGCCACCATACAAACTGCAACAATTACCAATTCCAGCCCTTTGCCGCTGAACACCGCCCAAATTACCACCCACGCAACTCTACTTCGCACCACCTCCCAGCTCAGCCACACAAACAGCACATCCTCCAATTCGCCACCACACGACACCAGCTACAAACCACCGCAACACCTTAACTTCATTTCACGGCACCAACTACACCACCACGCTAAGCACCTGACCAGCCCGCAGTTGAACCCAAAATCCCAAAACCCAAAATCGAAACCCTAGATTTTGATTTTGGGGTTTTAGGGTTTTGGGGTGGTGGTTCAGAGGGGGGGAAAGGGTGGAGTTGGAAGATTGAGGGGTGACTTAGGTTCTCCGGCTCGGGGAAGGTGGGTCTGGGAGCCAACAAGTGGGTTTGGGCGTCGGGGAGGGGGTTTTTCGAGTTTTAGGGTGGGACTTGAGAGGATAGTGGTTTAAGGGAAAGGGATGTGCGGCGGTGTAGACATAGTGGCGGCGGTGGCGGCGGTGTAGACATGGTGGTGCCGGTAGGGGAAGGGATGTTGGCTGGGTGGGGAGCGGTGGCTAGGTTGGTGGTGGTTTATTTATTTATTTTGTAAGTTTTTTTTATTCTTTATTTAAGTAATTAATTAAATAATATTAATAAGAACCAATAAGTGACAGCCACGTGGCATAATTAACCTTAATGACTAACGGAGTTAACGGCATTAGTCATTAAGGGCATTTGGTGACATTTATGTTAAACTCAGTGGTACATGGTGTATTAGAAAGTTTTTGGTGGTATATGGTGAATTAAGCTTTAACTCAGTGGTATTTGGTGAAAAATTCGTAATAATAATAATAATAATAATAATAATAATAATAATAATAATAATAATAATAATAAAGTCTAGTAAGTTTTAATAATTTCAATCAGGTCTAAGTGCCTATTCTCTTTAGCTTATTTTCAGTTCAGTTTAGTTCTGTTCAGCTCTAATTAGTTTAGTTCAGTTCCTAATTTTCTTCTATCATAAAATATTTAGTTCAATTCTAACCAGTTCAGTAGACAGAACAGGCCCTAATAAGTTTATTGAGGTATAATATGTTCAATTAAGTTTAGATAAATTCTGGACAACACACCATTAAAAGATTAACTCAAGTATCCGTGACCATTAACTAGACGCGGGGAAGTCAATTACCTTGTTTTCATGAGTCTCAAATAAAACATTATGTACTTCGTATTTGGTTAATAATAAAATAATTTTTTTTGACGGCTAAAAAAACAAATTGCCTAAGCAAAATGAAAGTTGACATAAACGAAATTTAACTATAAGTAATTTTATTTTAATAGTTGGTTCGTGGAGGCGGATGCACGATCCACATGGTGCATCCGCTCCAAAATACAAAAAGGCGGAATGAACATTCAGATATATACTAATGAACATGGTCATATAAAAGAACATAGTAGTCATTTATAATGTACATGGACATATATATAAAAGAACATAGTGTTTATTTGTAATGTACATCAGTTTTTTATGCAATAATTTTGTATATATATTTTTTTTAAAAGAAATTTTGTATAATGAAATAGATAAATAGTACTATAATTAATTTTTTTTACCATACATTAATTACAAATCATTTCAATTTTTTTTACCAAAAGTTCACTTTCTCTCTCCAAACAAAACTTCAAACCCATTTAAATTCTTCAAACCTCAAACAAAATTTCAAGAAATTCGAAATGTTGAGCCCAAGATTGTTCAAGATGACAAATAAAAACAAAATGTAAGACCAAATTCGACATTTATACTTGTTTATTTGACATTTATACTTGTTTATTTGACATTCATACTTGTTTATTTTGAGTTTGAGTGTTTGTTTTTTATAAATTTGATTGAAAATTTTAATATTTGTTTTTATTGAAAATTATTTGCGATTTTGATATAATTTTGTTGTTGCAATAAGAAATAAAATGAAATTCTTGAAGAAGATCAACCGATTAATATATTTTGGAAGAAGAAAGCAAGCAAATAGACAAATTTAGAAAAAGTTGTAGATCCAAATAATACAATGTACATTAAAATACAGTAAAATGTTCTTTTTTTCATATACTTATATGATGCAAATAATACAATGTACATAAAACATGTAACCAACATTATAACATATATGTTCATTAGAATATAATACAATGTACATTATAATACAATAAAATGTACATTTTCATATACATACAAGATCATTTATACCAAATGTACATTTACTGTATGAATAATGTTCTTTAATATTATCATGTTCTTTACTAATATTACAAATGTTCTTTAGATTTACCAAAAAAACATATAAAACTGGATGTTCTTTATAAAATAGCTGTATGTTCTTTACAAAACAACTATATGTTCTTTACTGAATAGCTAAATGTTCATTCCGCCTTTTTTAAAGAACACTGGATGCACCAAGCATGGTGTATCCGCCTCCACTGAAAAAATTTCAATTTTATTTTGCTTTCAAAAAAAAAAAGAAAAAAAAAGAGTAATTTTTTTTATTTTCATTATTATATTTTTTTTTACGGGAACTAAGAGTAAATTTATCCATCACAAATTTACAAATCACAATAATACTCCTCATAATAAGTCCGAGTAGTTTGTCTGTTGTCAGCAAAATCTGTAGACAATTGATTGAAGCACATCACCTCTCTCCGACTCTCCCCTCATCTCAACCTTCTGTAAGTCTCCTCTCTCTCTTCATCGCAAGATCTTTACTTTCTTCTACTTTGATCATCAAAGTTCGTCGCTTTTTCCCCACATTTTTTTCTTGACACTTTTTGACAGTATTATTAGATCACCCATCTTTCAATTTTCCCAGAATTCATCTACGATTAAACTATATAGTTTTGATTATACCCAGATCTTTGTGATTTATATGTTCGCCCCTTTAATTTTTTTTGTTAATTTTGTTCGAATTTGTGGCTTTGACTTGATTTGTGGATCTTAATTGATTTTAATTTTTGATTGAATTTTGGGATTTTAATTTCTTAACCCTAGGTTGTTGTTTGATTGTGTGGTAGAAATTGGGGATTTTTAATGAAATCTCTGGTGTTAAATTATACTCGTAGGTTTATCTGTGATTCGTATTGGGTTTAAGATCGCATTGATGAATGTTAGTTTTAGTTGAATGTATTTCTGGTTCCCAATTTTGTTCATTGAATTTCATGCTTTTAGAGTTTTAGCTATGATAATCTAGCGAATTGTTATCTCGATTTCATGGGGTTTTGGATTGAATTCCTTGTATTGATCCTGGATCACTCAATTTGATTGCGTTGCTATCTTACGTTTTGCTTTATTTATCTATAAAATTAATTTGGTATTATCTTTTAGCTTCATTACACTGCTTGAAAGATTGATAATTTGCTAGTTGAGGTCGTAATTAGTTTGATTATTTTCTTTTCGTGTTGATTTCGGATGAAGTATGCATCAGTTTGAATATTGATCAGTCGTGGATT